CACCCCCAACAACCCGTGTGGGCTTCAGCTCCCATCACCAGAACCTGCCTAGGCAGGGTCAGTTTTGCCATGTTAAGAGCTAGTTTCTGAATAGGTTGGTGTCTTCCTTAAGGTGGGAGAAGGGAGACCATCCTCACTGCACAATATACACATTGCCCTTCCACGGCTCTCTCCCCTTTCTGAACTTGCCCTTGTCTGCCAACAACAGCAGCATATACCAGACTTGCCTTGCCCTGTACACAGTTCTAAATAAGTCACTGCTTACGAACTCTCCAGTTGGTTTCATATTTTTGTTCTATTGTGTATGTACCCCAATTACATGTGTCTTTTTTTTGCTGGGCTTATCTTAGATGGTAAAATGCACCCTCATAGTTTCTGCTGTATACANGCCTTGCCCTGTACACAGTTCTAAATAAGTCACTGCTTACGAACTCTCCAATTGGTTTCATATTTTTGTTCTATGGTCTATGTACCCCAATTACATGTGTCTTTTTTTTGCTGGGCTTATCTTAGGTGGTAAAATGCACCCTCATTGTTTCTGCTGTATACAGTCNAAGTCACTGCTTACGAACTCTCCAGTTGGTTTCATATTTTTGTTCTATTGTGTATGTACCCCAATTACATGTGTCTTTTTTTTGCTGGGCTTATCTTAGATGGTAAAATGCACCCTCATAGTTTCTGCTGTATACAGTCTCAGAGAGGGTCTCCTGTATACAGTCTCAGAGAGGGTCCAGTGTATACAACCTCAGGGAGGGCCACATGCCCAACTTGAATGCTTTTTGATAAAAATGAAGTAGTTCTTTGTCATCCATGAAATGAACGTGGCCCCCACGTGCCTAGGGCTGGACGCAGCCAGGTGGATACACATGGAAGAAATAAGGCCTTACAGTGAAGGAGGTAGAAAGCCTGAAAGATACATTCCTTCTTGGCGTACCTGTCTCTCCTGGTGACCCGGTGACTGGTGGTCTGACGGCACCTTCAGCATGTGTGTATCAGGCATCGTGTGTGGGCCAGTCTCTGTGTGAGGTGCTGAAGATCCAGAGATGAGTAAGCCTGAAGACATAGTCAATGTACTGGGGAGGCAGACAGGGGACATAATTAAACTAGAGCCCCTGGAGAGCAGATTATCTTCCACATCTCCCCTTGGGATCATCTATCTTAGGTAGCAAGCTACCCTCCACAGGAGCATCCCCTGGGCTGCACAAACAGTGAGCTGAGACACCTTCAGCTCGAGGCAGGGCCTGACCCCTCGGCTTCCTCCGAGGGGTGTGGTCACAGCTTCTGGGTATGTGTTGATCTCCCCACTGCAGACCTTACACAAGAAGATACCACACATTGGAGGGTCATGCTTGCAGTGGGTGCTGGAGTTGGGAGCAGCACCCTGTTTCTCCTGGGTTTCTCCAACTCGTGCCATGCTGTAAACTGGCCTGGGGGCCAACACGGGGGAGGAGTGGCAGAGGCAGAACAGGCTTCTGAAAGGAGTGTGCACCAGGCAGGCTTTTTGGAAACCTGTTCTCGGAGCCTCTTGAAATAGAAAGTTCAGGCATCTTAAGGTCTGGCGTGGAGGAGGTTTGGTTTTGTTTCACTGTTTTGTTTTTCCATTCCAGCGGGCAGCTTGTGTAAGCGGAAGACTCCGGAGTGTGACAAGGAGACGTCCATCTGCACTGACCTGGATGGTGTGGCACTGTGTCAGTGCAAGTCAGGCTACTTCCAGTTCAACAAGATGGACCACTCTTGCCGAGGTGCGCAGCTTCCCGGGGCTGTGCGGCCCAGCTTGGGACAGGATAGATGCTTTTCTCTGCCGGGGCTCTCTTCCTGCTCTCGGTGTGCCTGTTCTAAACTCGGGGTAACAGTTCTTGTTATTTTGCTCACAGCAGGCTAGAATACATTATCTCCTTGGAATAATAGCATTATCTCTGACCTCTCGCTGGCTGGCCCCTGGATTCAAAGGAAAAGAAAGAGAATGGAATGCCTGTGATGGCAACGCCTTTTCTTTTTTTTCTTTTTTTTTTCCACTTGAAGAAAGTTAGAAAAATTTTTGTTTTAATTCCCAAAGCTTTATTCTATTGTATGCTAATCTTTTAAAATGGTAATACAGTCATGGAGTCAGGCTCTACCTTTCAGCAGCAGCTGTGGCCCAGTAGACAGAGTCCCGATGAGGCTCAGCGACGTGGCTCAGAGCCCACCGGGGCCTCACCATGTATGATCTTAGGCCAGTCACTTCACTTCCCTGAATCTCAGTTTCCTCTTCTGTGAAATGGGTGTAGTGATACTTCATTGGATAGACTAAGAATTAGAGAAGGCAGTATACATGGCAGCACTTTGTAAGCTATCCACATTTGCTCTTGTATTTTACCCAGGTTGTTGAATAGACGAGTCTTAGTTTTAAAGGTTTCATAAAGTGTTTGAGGTGAGAAAGCTCATTCTGCAAACCTTTTAGGTAAGGCTTAAATTCATTTAGTTTGAGATTAAAGGCTGCTCAGCGAGTGTAAAGCTTTAACATAAATGAGCCCAAGTCCAGAGCGCTGTGTACCTGACTTATGAAGGCTGCTGCAGCGCAATCACCAGGGAAACCGCAATGCAGATGCCAGAATGTAGCTTTAACCACTGCATCACATTAGAATGCGTGTGGCTTACTTTTCCTGCTCCGTCAGCACCTGCTGGTGACAGGTATCCTGGAATCTGAGTAAAATCACATACCTGAGAGAGGTGACATGCCACTTGTACCTGTCAGGACTGCCCGTTAGAGGACTCATTCTGTCAGGAGAGGATGCAAATACATTTCAGGGTAGCACTCTCATCCTGAACTTGAGACCCTGTGGCTTAGGTTCACGTACAAAGGGCTTTGAAAGTGCACATCCTGCGCTTTGCACGCAGGCCCTGCGGCAGCTGTTGAGAGGAGGGCCAGTGCTCCGCGACGGGCAGCCGCCCTGACACCTGGCAGCCTCACAGCATTTCTCAGCACGTGTCAGGCTGCCGCCTGGATACAAAGAGGCAATGCTTCCTAATTTCGTCTCATCTGGTTAATGCAAAGTGTTCCTCCCCCTTCTTAGAAACTGGGCCATTGAGCCCCACTTCATGTGGGAAGGTCACCTCTGCTAAAATCCATCTGCTGGGGCACTGTGCAGCCGGCCGGAGGGAAACGGAAGGTGGACAGAAGTGTGGGCGTTGTAGGAGTGCCGGCCCCCATACACCGTGCCTCTGGAGCTTCTGATGGCCTCAAGAATGGCCCTGCCACTTCTGCTTCGGCTGGCCTGAGCCACTTCCCCTCTACTTCCAAGTCGGTGGTTTCATATTTGCGTCGCTTACAGAGTAGCATTAGCGATAGCAGAGCCATCAGAGGTTTTTCAGATGCAGTGGCACAGGCACCAGCAATCTGTGTTTATCCAGGATGACCCAAAAAGTAGCATAAAGAAACCTTGGGTAGCTTGTGGGCTTGTTGCCCAGGGCCCGTGAAGCCTCATTTCTGCAGTATCCTCCTTGATTAGATTTTCGCCTGTGGCTATCAGGCCTCTGATGAGTACAGGTAGGATCACCTTGGGTCACAGCCCTGTCAACTGGGTTCTAATGGGTTAGCAGTGACATCTTCTGGCCATTGGTGCTGAAGCACAGGGGTATTTAAAATGAGTCCCCTTTGGACACTGCAAATCAGGGCTCAGTCCCCTGTATAAATAAAAGATAGAGGTGTGAGTGTGTTTTCTAAATCCCTGCAGTTCACAGCTGTGCATTAGCAGGACTGTAGCATTCTCTGTCGTATACACATACACTCTTAGTATCTCACATACAGTGTTTTACCAGACTTTCCAACTGTCATATAAAATGACAAGGGGTGGCGATGAGGTGCACTGGAGTGCCCATGACAAGGTTTTCCACCAAGAGCCCTAGAACAGCGCCATGCCCACAGTAGCATCAGTCTTCGATGAATGACCAAATGAGCCCATTTGAAATAAAGAAATATCATTGTATCAGGAGTCAGAATTCTTCCAGAGCTGAGTGAAAACAGCCCAGCCCATCAGCTGCAGGCAGGGCGACAGCCAGGCCTTACCTGTGGCTGGATGACAGTCACAGGGTGCAAAGCCCCCACCCAGCAGATGAGGATTGGGTGGGGAGATCTGATGTAAAGACATTTCCAGGAAGAAGTGTTTACATAGGACAGACTGGGGTGACATCAGCCTGCTGAGTCCCTGGGGATGCCAGCAAACTGCCCTGCAGACAGAGCCATGGGTCACCCAGCAGCAGCTTCCATGACCTGCCACAGCATGAAGACTGCCACACAAGCTGCTTTCCACTGGGAGGCAGGAGTGCTTAGCTTGTTCCTTAGAGAAGGCCCCGCCTAACCCAGGCGCGGAGCACTCGGGAGGGCCTTGTTCCTCCTTCTTTCCTGGAACGTGATGATGCCCTACCTGCTTGTGGAAAAAGAATTGAAACCCCTAATGAAAATTCATGTAACCAAATGAGATTGAATTTAAAAGGTAAATCAGGTTAAGGAGAAATAAAATGACTTCTTTGTTGAGGCTAGAAGGAAAGCGACTTTGCAGAAAGGTAGACCATCAGGTCCTGCATGCTTGCTAAAGGTAGGCCGCTCACCCAAGTTCTGAGCTCCCTGGTCACTGAGGCAAATAGAGAAGCGTGATTCTGAAAACAGGCGGGGACCATAAAATAAAGTGCAGCTGTTCAGGAGCTTCCCATCTTCCTAGACCCTGGGCCCGAGAGAAGCATCTCTGGGGTGTCCCCATCAGGAGGTATTGTGGCAGTGTTGTCCATGACATCCCACAGTTGATACCATCAGGACCTGCTCAGGGCTGCTGCTTATACCAGACAGCCCTGAATACAAGAATATGTGGCTCAGGAAAAGCGATTCCATGGAGTCACACCACACAGTCCAGCTTTCACAATAGGCTGTGAGACAATTGTAGGTTGTTTAAAACAGTGTTTTCCAAACCGCTCCACAAAACTCTAGTTATGTGTCTGCGGTGTGTGACTACAAAGCAGATGCTAGGAACATTTAATGTCTAACATTAAAAAATAGAAGGAAGAACACCATTAAGCACATCTATGTAGTTGACATTATTATGCGTTAATCTGTAAGGGAGGGTGTGGGAAGTCTTCGAGATCTCTCCTCCCTGCCTGCAGGGCCCGCCCCTCTCCTTTCCCGGCCTTGCCGCTGCTGGCATCACAGCTCACCATTAGCTAGCACGTAGGCTGTGTGTGCAGGGAGCTCTGCTCTGCACTTTGTACCTGCTCTTACCCAGGATTTTTTTATGCAGTGTATACCGGACTTTAATCACAAATCAAATTTTTATCATTCCATGAAGCAATGGATTTGTCTAGGGGGCCATTTTTTATTGTCTGCTTCCATCCAAGCATGTGTTGTAGCTCATGGCATTCTGTCAGCTGATTGTAGTGTTGAAAATGTTCTGTGATCCAGTAAATTCAGGAACTGCTGATTCAGGGGGATGGCTGGGCCACACACAGACCTTCAGGGAAGCAGTGGTCCGTGAGCAGCACCACCAGAGGGTGCAAGGTTATGCTCTTGGGTGATATGCCAGTTAGGGCTCATCTAGAGATCCCGCTGCAAAGACTGTAGGGGGAGCTGCTTTTGTGAAAACAGAGGCACCCACTAGGAGCATAGCCCAGAGGATGCCTCCTACCACCTCATGGAAGGGAGCCACGGGGCCAGCAGCAGGTTAAAGGTTTGACTTAAAGAAAGTGAAGCGTGCCCTAGCCGGTTTGGCTCTGTAGTTAGAGCATTGCCTGTAGACTGAAGGATCTCAGAACCCTGTCCCTGGCCCCACTCGGGCACGTCGGGGCAGCCAACGGATGTGTCTCTCTCACATCGATGTTTTTCTCTCTGTGTCTCTCCCCCTCCCTCCCACTCTCTCTAAAAATATCAATGAAAAAAACAAATATCCTTGGGTGAGGATTAATAAGAAAAAGGTGAAGCGCTTGTCTTCTTGTGTGTATGATGTTGCACGGGGGCCACAGGGAATCTCCAGAGGGCATTGCATTTGTTGGAACATAATTTTAAAAATTTATTTGGTGGTTGCTGTGTGTCAGACACTGTGCTAAGCCATTTGCATGCCTTATTTTACTTGATCCCCTCCAAGAAACTATAAGGTAGATATTATTATTATTATTATTATTATTATTATTATTATTATTTACTCTTTATAGAAGGGAAACTGAGAGCCACAAAGAGGTTAAAAATTTGGGGGGCGGGGGTAAAATTATGAGTTGAGCTGACAACAGTATTTAGCCCAGATAACAGATAATTCTAAAGCTATTTGTGGCCTTCTGGTTCTAGAATATTCTTGTGGACTTTAGGGTGTCTGGTGCTTAATTAACTGTCAATTTGGGCTGAGGGAAGTAGCCACGTTCATGGACCGTCCTTTCCTCTTTCAGCATGTGAAGATGGCTATCGGCTTGAAAACGAAACCTGTATGAGGTAAGCTCTTGAAAACGAAACCTGTATGAAGTAGGCTCCGTGTTCATTTATTCTGATGAATTTGTTACAAACCTAATTTAGAAATTATGTAGTAAATGGCCTCAGTTTCTTTTGAGATTTGAAACCAATTCTTGTACTTTCTCTTTGTTAATTTGCAGTTGCCCGTTTGGCCTTGGTGGTCTCAACTGTGGAAACCGTAAGTATGCAGGATAGCTTTGTCCTTTATTCTATAAACATGCCAACAGTCTATATTCTAAGTTTACTTAGACCAAAAGTAGACATGATTTTCTCTACTGTGTTTAAATTCCCCAGTTCCTGTTCCCCAGTGGTCTTCGTTGCATTTTATGTCCTTGATGATATTTTCTTTGCTCATAAACTTTCTTTTAGTAAGTTTCATTATGTACTTTTTTTGAGCATAAATAATAAATTAAATGAAATAATAAAACAAATTCAATCCTGAGTATACACTCCCTTGGAGTACTCAGCATGGAGCCACTCAGACCAGACTCTAGAGATTTGGAATTAAATATCCATGTAGGATTACTGGTGACTTTGGTCATCTTATTTATCCTGACTGCAGCCTAGCAAGAGGTTACAGTAGACAGCCTAAGAGAAAGACTAGGGAAGTACTTCTAGGAGCAACTATATTTAGAGTCATATTGAACAGAGAGGGAGGAGCTCACAGAATTAATATTTGTTTTTAAGTAGCCCTGTCAGCTTTAGCAGTCCCTGAGGACAGCGTGAAACGACTTAAGTGTAGACATTCATTAAGATGGACCCAAAGTATCACACACTAAATGGTATTCCGTGTTACCATGAACTGATTTTTACTCACAACACTTCTAACACCAAATATGTGGGGGTTTTCTCCATACCAACCAATTCTGACATTACCCAGGGTAAGTTCAGACCTCCCATGGGAAAGGGCTCAGTTCCACAAAACTGCCGCCACTTCAGACACCAATCCCAAGTTCAGGCCTCCAGTACTTATGACCAACCAGCTATAAATCAGAGGTTCCCTTGACCCCCCCCATCACATTCAATAATTTGCTAGAATATAGAGTGTCGTTAAACTGATCAGAGACAGAAGTGGCTTGCACACAAGAATAAACCAGAGAACACCTAGGACTTTTCCATGTGGAAAATGGAGGCTGAGTAGTCAGGCAAAACATATGACATTTGAGACCTGTTCACCGAATGCTGGAATGAAGACTCGAACTAATAATGGTATAGCCTTTTAGAAGACATGGTTGTAGAACTCACAGTAGTGACTGCACCACAAGCCTGTGGACCTTATGCTGTGACGTTAGAAGTATTAAAAACACAGAAGCTTGCCCTGGCCGGTTTGGTTCAGTGGTTAGAATGTCAGCCCTCGACTGAAGGGTCCCGGGTTTGATTCCAGCCAAGGGCATGTACCTCGGTTGCAGGCTCTATCTCGATCCTGGTTGGGGCTCGTGCAGGAGGCAACCAATTAATGTGTCTCTCTCACATCGATGTTTCTCTCTCTCCCTGTCTCTCTCTCCTCCTCCTCCCTTCCACTTTCTCTGAAAAGCAATGGAAACAATATCCTCCTGTGAGAATTAAAAACAACAAAAAAGAGGCTTAGATAATATAATTAATAAAGAATAATTTAAGCGAGGGAGGAGATTACAGCAGAGTTGTATCACATTTGCAAGGAACTTATTGGAATATAGTCCCATCAGATGGCAAAGAAAGAATGAACGAACAAGACCGGTGAGGAGTGTGGAGCTGCAGCAGCTCTGGGGTGAGCCAGGGAACAGAGGGGAGAGAGGCTATCTGCCAAGTCCTTCTGGGCACTCTGGGCCCTGACAGGCTCTCCCAGGATGAGCCAGTACCTCAGACCTGCTTTGGTCAAACAGCTTCCTAAATAGTTTTCACTGAAAAATGCTTCCTATTTCTCAGTGAATGGAAGAGTATTCAGTAGAGGGAAATGAACATACGGGAAAGCCCAAGAAAGGGTTGAAGGAAAGGGGAGTGAATGCATGGCATTGTTCTAAGTGGCAGTTAGTGATTTTTTTTTTTTTTTTGGAGATTA